AATACTTTGAATGAATATAAAAAAAAAATGTATGTAAATCCTAGGCACTGAAGATGATCTCAATAAAGATCGAAACGTTGGCATGATAAAGAAAATGTTTTTCTAAAACTTACGTCACACCAGACCGCATCTCACGATCTCCGAATAATTAAATATAAATTATTTTTTGTTTAATTCTCGGTTTCTAGGGTCCAATGGCAAGAACGCTTCGACATGTGTCTAATATTTTTTGATCTAGTATCACACAAAAAAGTTTGGTTAAAATCAGTGAACCTAAAAGTTATTAATATATTTATTAATTATTCAGAAATCGTGAGATGTGGTCTGGTGTGATGTAGGTTTCCGAAAAACATTTTCTTTATCGTGCCAACGTTTCGATCTTTATTGAGATCATCTTCAGGGCCTGGGATTTACAAACATTGTTTACATTTAAAAAGTGAATTTATACAATGCAAAATATATCTTTTATATTCAATCAAAATATTTCTCCTCACTCAAAGTGTTTGTCTTCTGTGTAATTGTGCGATTCTTGCGTGTCGTGTTGAGAGTGCCAGTGAGATTTTGCTATTTTATGTTTATATACATTGGATTTTGAAGGAGTGGGGAAGGAAGTCGGTATCGAAAAGACATTTTTGAGTTGGTAATGGTTCGGCCAGATTATCCTTTCAGGATTATGTAGAAAGGGATAAATAGGAAAAGGAAAGCTAAATTGTTGGACAATTAGACTATGAAAAATATTTGATGTGTGGAATGTAATGTAATGATATATGTATGTTATCTATATTGAATTTGATTAATGATATTGGCGTAGCTGCGACTTAGTTTACATGTTGTGTAATTGATGCTGTGTTTATCTCTGTTGATATAAACCATTTCTAAGAAATTACGTTTATGTTTGTTTTGTTCTGTATGTAATATTTTTGGATTTTTGAAGTCGAAATTGTGTTGGTGTTCAAAATGGTGGGTAGCGAGTGCTGTAGGATTTTGCTTGGGTTTTTTTGCAATCATAGATATGTTACTTTACTCTCTTGTCCAGATATTGGGATGTAAGACCGATGTAAGTTGCCGGACAGTTTAAACAGTTGATCTTGTAGATTACGTCAGATTTATTGGTTATTGGTGTGGGATCGTTAATTTTGGAAAAAAGTGTTTCGATTGTTTTATAATTTTTGAAAGCTATTTTGAAGTTATCGGACGAGAGAAATGTGTTTAATTTTATTATATATTATATTATTTTAAATATATTAATTTTAATATATTTATTGGTCAAATGTAAGAAAATATCCCTAATCATCAAATAAATTAGTACTTGACAACTTAACTTTTTTTAATCGATTTATGCTTCTGATGATTTGTAACATATTTATCTTTAAAACTTAAGGTTTCTTCAATAAATATTAAGCAAAGATAGTTTTGAGAACAGAAGAAAGTAGATGTATAAGCTTGTAAGCTTCTTGCTTTGACGTATTTTTTATCGGTCATTTTTAGATTAGTGTGATTATCCTTCGATTATACTTTGGAATTATTTCGGCACAGATGCTAAAATAAGCGTCATAAATCAACATTTCGATATAATAAGGAACCTCCAAAGAAAATTGCTTTAACGAGTTGTTTACAATTGAATAATAATAATAACAACTGCACAATCTTCCAAGTGTATTTTTGTATATTTTTTTAACGTATATAAATGTATATTGACAGCAGTTGAGATATGATAGGACCTTTTTGGGCTGGGACGTATTCAATTGACTTGTATAATATATATTTTGGAAGTCACAGACCATGAGCGAGAGGATAATTGAACCAGAGAATCATTTACAATTTTTTTTTTGACATTTATGATCGTCCTTTCAAGAAAGCAAATTAATCGGCCAAAGTCTATTGCGTTATTCGGTGAAAGGAAAAGAAGCCGGATAATATTGAAAATGATATTGGAAAGTAGTCGGATTGACGACGTGTTAATCCATCAAGTAGCAGGGCGCGGCGCGAAACACGATTACACAAGCACAGCCAGCACACCTTAATTGTAGGGATCCGCTTGTTTATGGGTTTATTTCTGTACTGGATGTACGAGTTATTTCCTGACAACTAATGACCAGATTGATATTTTAAACTTGAAGTATTCCTTGTCGACGAAGAAGGACGGCCTAAATGGAAAAAAGTGAAAACCCCTCCAAATTATACAGATCTCGAGGCATAAAAATGATATACTAAAGGTTTTTACGAGCACCTCGTGACTCCGGTTGTTTCTTTTATTATTAAACGGCTTTATAATGACATTGGGCAATCTGATTTTGCAATCCGCCACAAAAGGGGTTTTTCACGTTATCGCTTATAAATAATTCAGAGATGGAGCAGATTGTAAGGATTGCATTATTGATGGTGCGTAAGTCGGACCCGGTTAATGTTCATGCCTTTAAGCATCCGCTTTGAAATCATTCAGCTCATAACAAAGATTACAATTCATTTCATTTGCAAAGGTTGACGGCTATTCTGCCAGTTTTAGTACTTACATAGATATATATACTTTTAAACTTAAATATTTTAACGATGAACTAGATTATCGACCTGCTGGATACAATAAGTCTTTTCAGAGGATCTTCGGAAGAGGTCAAACCAGAGAAAACTTCCTTACGGTTTTCGCCGAGCTTTCGACAGTTTTCTACTGTCATCTTCAGGGCCTGTTTTATTATCATATAAACAAACAATTAAAACATGAAAAAACAATAATTACAACAATAATTGGATATCTTACTTTAAAACCTTAATAACCTTAATTTCCTATTAAGGTTTTAACAGTTTTTAACAGTTTCTACAGCAAACCCATTTTATAAAAGTCTGACGCATTAAGGCATTATACTGGTGGATATCACAGGAATTCGGTTCCATGAAGATTTTCTAAATTTTCCTTCAGCCAAAACTAAAAAATGTTGTGACAATATACCATACTTTCTTTCTATATATCCACAGTGAAGGTCAGAGTTCATAGGACATTCATCTAGAACATGTGATCACAGCCATTGGCCAACTAATGACCAGATTGATATTTTCAACTTGAATATACTTCCACATGGGCTTTTTTTTTTCAAAAACACCGATACCCAGAGGGTTGGTATGACCTCGTAAAAATACAAAAACAAAAAACAGCTTAATGGCTTAAAGACATCACCATAATTTTACACTAAATGGGAGTCTTGCTTTATGTTCAATTTGAACAGTTACAAACCAAAATTTACCATTTATATTTGAACATACAAAAACTAAACAAACAAAACACTATACAAAATAATAAATAATAATAATAATTGTAGTTTCTTACTTCTAGAGTCAAACAAGTTGTGATCTCAGTAGATTTGCTAGGTTTCAATAACTTACCAATGCTGACCAGATTTTTCCATTGAGATATTTAAACAATTATTCTCTAATAAGTTAATCTCAACACAGTCTCTTTACCCTTATCTGTGAGAATCCTGGGCATATAGAGATAAAATGGTACTTTCTTCCATAAAAAATGTACCATTGGACACACTTCATTTTCATTTAAATAAGGTCTATGGAACAATTTCAACACTACACCTATTAAATCCATTAGAGTTGGTGGTCCGATTGACCAAATAACTTCTTTTAATTAGTTAATCTATGTAAGGTATTGGTCGAGATAAAAAAGTCAGTGTCCCGAGCGGGATTCGAACCCACGACCTTCGGCTAAATACGCCGCTGCTCTAACCACTTGAGTTGACTTCGATCCACTCGGACACCAACTTCCCATCTCAACCCCACCTTTCGAATTTCCCCTCTTTTTTGCCATTTTTCAAATGTCGCGTAATTCGATTTTCCACAACTACACCTATTATTTTTATGATCCATCTCATTCAATTTAGAGTAATTTTTTTTATTTAATTTCTTTAACAGGTCTTATTACACCACCCATTAATTTTTCAATGATATATAGAGTAAAATGTTTACTTAATTAATTACTTAATTTTTATCTGAATCAAAATCGAAATTTAATTCCTCATAAAACTGATATTTTTCATTCGACTGAACATTAATCAGTTCTTCTTTATATTTTCCAAATATACTTTTATATACCTTTGTGGAATCCCCTACAATTCTTAAAAGACAGCATCTTAACAGAAGTTTCGGGCAACTACGAAGTGCTTTAGGATTGAAATCTGTTTTGATCATGGATTGTTTAGGCAAATTCAAAAAGCTTTTAGTTCCAGGAGATTTATGTTCTAAAAGGATGAGGTTGCATCACAAAACAGTACATACATTAAAAGAAATATTATGTTTTGATAAAATCAACTCAAGTTGAACAAAACTTTACTGCGACCACTCTGGACAAACGGAGGGGAATTAAAGAGATCTCGCCAAGCCATCCAATATTGAGCGCAATCCTGTGACTCAGAAGTATTCGGACAAATTGCCCGACAAATTACTACGTCACAAACCTCAGTATCCACAACGAAGTGTACAAAAAGTTCTACACCCAGCTTTCGATCTATCTTAACCCTACTGTCTAAGCCTTGTCTGCACTTTCCCATCCAGAAAACCCGCCACATCGCCCATACAACCCTCATATCACAGTAACATGTTTCTTCATATGTATAGGCTACAAATAAATTATTTATAAAAAAGAATGGTGTTCTACTTTTGTTTCTAGGGTAGTGTAAGAGCGTGTGTGTAAAGGATTGGTCCTAAAATACTTCCTTGCGGAAGCCTTGAGCGACAGGATTCGAGCAAAATCAGAGCTGATTTTCACATTAAACGGCCCAAGAGGAAATAGTTCAGGGCAAGTTAGTAAGTCTGAGGAGCATCATTTTTAACTTGAAAAGGAGGCAGGGGGTAAAAAATAATAACTTAAAAACATTGAATTATGGAAATAATAGTTACATATGAGAAAAAGTTTGTAAAGTAGGAAAAGTCGATCCTTTTTCTAGATGCGAGAAAAACAACATTTTTGTGTGTTAAAAAAAAGATTTATTTTTATTTCGTATCTTTGGGACGTATTGCTTTGCAGAATTAATTTTCGTTTTCTGGCGTCTGTGTGGTCGAAGCTCTCTTTCTTTTAGCTCTTCCAAATCTTATTTGGTTTTTACTTATAATATAACACTGGTGGACGCCATTTGTTGGAATTTGGTCCATACTACTTTGAATAAGCCGGTCAAAGATGGAATACATTATCTGACAACACATAACAACCAACGCTTGATATATTAGTTTCATGTACTCTGACAAAGCCTTTTTGTATTTGTTCAAACATCCTGTTGGCCAAAATGCATAGAAATCGAAACTGAAAAAGTAACATATGTAAAGTTTAAAATCCAATATATTTAAATCATGTTTAAAAAAATAACGTGATTATTTTTCTGATACTAACGAAGCGTTTTTGTCGGGATGGAACGAACACGGGACTTCAACGTTTTTGCAGCAACTGCCAGGTAGCATATAGTTTGTTTTATTTTTGCCATTGAACCAATCTTTGTAATCTTTAAGACCGCAGCACGAGTGCTCCTTCTGCACATGGTCCAATACGGCTTTGCTTTGAGGATTCGAGTAATTCTTCAAGGCTTTTAAGAAGCTCGCTTCGAAACTTCCGTGTATCGGTTTTTGTACTATGACGGAGGTGGCGCACGCCAACCCGATGAGCAGGCTGCATATGACAGAGGCGATTATCACCCGCAAGTATACGGTCATCTCCTTGCTCTTCAGGTGCTGCTGGCGCAGGTACTTAACTTTGTAAGAGAGGCTGATAATCCCCAGCATGGCAAGCGTTCCGTCGATAACGGCAAAAATGGATGGGATGATTGCACCGTACACATAGGAAAATAATGCCGCAATGTCCAGGTTTTCCAACATAAGGACGATGGATCTGGCACCGTGGACCACTTCGATGCTTAATATTACAAGCATTATTACTAACGATACGTCTATCAACTGGAGAAAAGTTTCCACTCGAATTGGTATTATACACATTTTTATTAAATAAACCATAACACATGACAGATACAGAGTTTCAATTGTTGAATGTATTTATAACCTACAATTAATAATTTCTCTTAGTTCAAGCTTATGTTAAATTACCTTGTAATCCATGTATATAAAATCAACGTTACCATGAGCTGGAAATCGCAGACAGTCAACCACGTACTTTTTCATTTCCGCTATCTTAGAAAATAATGTGTTGGTGTTGTCTTTGAATCTGTTTTTCCCTGGGACTCCTATTTTATTTTATATGAATTCTGGTATTCACCCATTTATGAATATTAATTAATCATGAATATTTACAAAGATTCAAGCATGATAATGATGCTTGATCATGGTACTTAAATAGGAGAACGCTATCCAGTTTAGGAGAACTCTTAAGAAAAGTGTCCACGTGGTAAAGAAAAACTAAATATGTATACATACAACTCAGGACTTTGATTTATTTATTTAGAAATCGTGAGATGCGGTCTGGTGTGATGTAGGTTTCATAAAAAATTTTCATTATCGTGCCAACGTTTCGATCTTTATTGAGATCATCTTCAGGGCCTGGGATTTACAAACATTGTTTACATATAACAATTACATTTTGGATGTGGAAAACTGAATTTATACAATGCAAAATATATTTTTTGTATATTCAATCAAAGTATTTCTACTCACTCAAAGTGTTTGTCTTCTGTGTAATCGTGCCATTCTTGCGTGTCGTGTCGAGAGTGCCAGTGAGATTTTGCTATTTTGTGTTTATATACGTTGGATTTTGAAGGGGTGGGGAAGGATGTCAGTATAGAAAAGACATTTTTTTATAAGGGGGCGGGTTCTTTGAGATGAAAAGAGCCGACGAAGGGAAAAAATGTTTCGGCCAGATTATCCTTTCAGGATTATATAGAAAGGGATAAATAGGAAAAAGAAAGCTAAATTGTTGGAAAATTAGACTATGTGAAAAATATTTGATGTGTGAAATGTAATGTGATGATATAGGTATGTTATCTGCAGTGAATTTGATTAATGATATTGGCTTAGCTGCGACTGAGTTTACATGTATCTGTTCTGTAATTGATGCTGTGTTTATCAATCAAGGAAGGTTTATTAATCAAGGCAACTTTGATTTTTTAAGAAAAATATAACGTTATTTGATAATTACATTTATGAATTCCTTTGTTTTTATTATTATTAAATAGTTTGAGTTAAAATATAAAAAAAGAAACATATATAGTGAATTATGTACACAATAAAGAAAAAAGTATAATACTATGTTGCAACATAAAAGGTGTATGATCGAGATCGATTGTTTAATGAATCCTTTGGAAATTTTCTTCCAACCGAATGACCCAAATACCTAAAACCCTAAACCACCTGCCGAGCTCCTACAGACCTGAGAAAAGTCAAAAGAAAATGCTGGAAAATCATAGATCCGCCTGTCCAAGAAAAATCCTGCTAACATAATTACCCATCACCAATTAGCTTTCGTGTTGCCACTCGACTGTCCAACAACCACATAGCATCGTAGAGGTGAGGCAATATTGCGCTGTTGTGTTATTGGGCAAACAGCAAGCCTTTGACCGGGAATGGTACTCTGGACTATTGTGGAAGCTCAAGATTAGCTTACCAGCAACCGACTACTTTATCCTAAGAATGTACTTTAACGGTTACTTCCCAAGTATCCCACAAAACTTCCCGTCCTCGATCTTCTGCTTTACTTAATTTATACCTCCGACCTACCTATACAACATTACGATGATAACGCAATTCTTTATCCTGAAAAAGATCCCGTCACAGCTTCCCGTAATCTCCAAAATCGTTTGCATATCCTCGAATCCTGCTCCTATGGTATTAAGGTTAACATAACTAAATGTTAATTCCCTTGAGAATGGAAATAGTGTTCACGCTGTATATACAGATTTATCTAAGGCCTTCGATAGAGTTGACATTGATATTCTTCTGTTTAAGTTGAAAATCCTTGGAGTTGGTGATCCTTTGTTATCCTTCATCGAATCATTTCTATCTGGTCGCTCTTTTTCTGTTCTCATTAATAACTCTGTATCGGATAGGATTTCTACATTTTCTGGCGTACCTCAGGGTTCTCACTCCGGGCCCATATTATTTCTTGTTTATTTCAATGATGTCTGTAGTATATTCAAGGATTGTAAGTTTTCTTTATTGGCGGATGATTTAAAAATTTTTAATTCAGTGTCTTCTACTCACGACTGTGTTGGTTTACAGAGGGAACTGGACTGCTTCAATAATTGGTGTGAGCAGAATCGTCTTCCTTTGAATATTAACAAATGCAAGGTAATTAAATTTTCTAAAAATATCCGACCTCGTGACTTTGATTGTTTTGACTATTTCGTTGATGGGCAGAGATTGGAAGAGGTTGACACTATCTCCGACCTTGGTGTCGTTTTCAGCAGAAAGGGTGATTTCAGTGACCATATCAAACAGATTCGAGGTAAGGCTCTACGCAATCTTGGCTTTATTACTAGGTTTTCTAGAGATTTTAAAAACATCTTGGCAGTTAAAATATTATATCAATCCCTCGTTCGTAGCCATCTGGAATATGCAAGTGTCGTGTGGTCCCCTTACTACGTTGGTGAGATTAGCGACTTGGAAAAAGTACAAAAGAAAGCAACCAGGATAATGGCCTTCAGATTTGGTCTTGCACACCTGAATTACTTGGAAAGACTGAACTGGCTTGGTCTTGAGTCGCTTAGCTCCCGCCGTATTTTTGCCGATCTCATTTGGGGTTGGAAATTGTGGAATGGGGCCATTGATATCCTGAACTTACATTTATCGCTATGTGTGCCTCAGCGACCACTTAGGAACCATAATTTGTTCTTTGTTCCACACTACAAAACAGAATATGGACTAAATTCACCCCTACCGAGGATAATGAGATTGCTGAATTATTATTCTAATGAAATAGATGTATTTCGCGATTCCTTGAATTCAGTTAAAGTTAAATTAAAATATTTACTTGCCTTGAATCATTAAGCCTTGTGTTTTGTTATTATTGCTTTGTTAATTTGTTCTTTTTGTTATTATGTGCCTTTTTTGACTACTCCTCTTGTAGATTCTTTCTGTTGGAGTTATAATAAATAAATAAATCTACATGCATAATATTCGCACTAAACAAGAAAACACTCCCACCAATCACCTCTCAACAATGCGTACTGTGCAGAGTACCTCGGACTCCACCTGGATAAACATATGGTTTATCATTTTAAAACGACTGCTCAACGGAACAGCTAAAGAAAACGAACTCTACGGAACTGCTAAGCGTTCCAAATTTAATCGAATCCTCGGAACAATAGTCAATCCCAAGCTTCTAATCACACCATCCATATCTAAATGTTCTTCCCAATCCCGCTACAAAAGGTTCCATTCCAAACTATCCCTTCATCTGAACCCTTTCGTCAAAAACCTGTTGTGAACCACGTTACCTAATCCTCGCAGGTGACTGATACATCGGTGGCTCTGCGACAACCTCACTACAAGCCAGCGGCCTCCTAGAATGGAGCCCATCTCACTCATCTTGTTGGCGTGATAACGGCTTCCATCACTGGATGGTTGCTGTTCATGTTTCCATGTTTTATATATTATATACTACATATTTTACTTGTTGCATCGAACGAATGCAGTTATAAAAAAAAGAAGAATAAAAAAAATTGATTTAACGATATAATAATAAAAATATAATTCAATTCTGCCATATTACTGTATATAAAAACAGCACACTCTAAATAATTAAAAATGTATAAATAGTCTATTAATAGAAGTAAAAAGACCTACATAATTTGTATGCGCGTATTTCATGCATTCTTGTTTGGAACACACGGGATGGAAAAACCCAATTAATAAAAATCGAAATAAATAATTCATCATGCATAAAAAAATTGATAAATTACACTACGATTAATTGAGGCGAGACGATGGTGTTAAAAGTGTAAAAAAATGTGCAAATAAAAAGTTAATAGTAGTAAGGCCGTCCAGTTGGCCTTCATTAATATACAATAATTTGACTCTTATTTGGTTTAATGAAATTTTCAAACGGTGATTTATAATAACTATATCGTCCTTTAGGAATGTAACATTTCTATTTATGAACGTTTTAACAATACAACATGTACTTTACACACCAAAAGACGGGCTGGAAAATTTTAAGAGGAATAGATCAGCAAAATTATGTCCAAATACGACATTTACAAATAGATTGATAACATACTTGCTACAGTAGACATCAACAACGATATCACCCGGATCACGATATCATCGGCATAAAAACGGAACTGCGAAAACTGAACGCAACAACAGTATACATTTCCTCCACTTAACTGATACGAAAACTGGCGACTCCTGTACGATAAATACAGCGGTAAGAACAATAAAATACCACTCAAAACATCCTGATAATACAAAAGTGAGACTGCTGCGCAACGTTACCCCCAACCAACGAATTACAATAAATAGTACAACAATGGCAACTACATAAACACAGCGATAAAATATACTATATTTAAAATTAAGAATTTAAATTCGACTGTCGAATCGAGATCGAAAAAAATAAATCGACCTTACATGAACCAAACTACATGAAAAATGAAGGGGAGTCTCAATTCATACTTTTTTCCTATCTAGAATCGCAAAGAAAAAAATAATGGGGTGGGCGCTTTAGCTTCGATACCCTACATGTAAAAAAAAATACACAAAAAAAAACGATACCTCAAATCAAACATTAAATAATAGGACAAGTTTACATATATAAGGAAAAAGCCGGAAAATCTATTAAAATTATATATTGCAAAAAAGTAAGGACAAAGATTTGTTAGGGCGTCGGTGCCCGCAAAGGTTTAAGCGTTGACACGGCGCTCATTACTGTAAGGTGTCCCGGGTTCGAATCCAGCGGCCCTGCATTCGTACCCGACATACTTACAAACGGGCTTTTTTCAAAAACACCGGCACACCGGAAGCTTTCATTTTACAGATGTCTATCTAATTTGGTTTACATTTTGTTATCACTTCAGTA